TAAAGTGCAATTGTAGCTTTGAAAAAGATATCAATTGATCAATACAAAAATCTAGCTAGTCAATAAACTGTCCTTGTTTATTGTTAATAAAATTTGTACACTTAATTGATTAAAAATAATAACTTATTAAAATACTTGCATTTATTGCGCACTATTGGACAACCGCCAAAGTTGCTATAGAATATCAGTACTGTATTGCTATAGGACTGTCCCACACTAAGTAGACATAATATCTATTAATAATAGTGAGAGCCTATCTATAAGATAGAAGAAAACGCACTGCATGGCAATCCTGAAGTATACTAATTACAACAAGATCGAGTAACCATAAAAATACTGTCATCAGACATTGGTTGAACACCTATGTTACGATTATACCTATCAGAAGTCTGATCATGACATTTGACGAGCTCACTAGGGGAATCATCCAGAAGAGATCGATCCTGAAGAGTAATGAATCTAAGAAAAGAATTAATTAATGTCATCACAAGTTATCACTATTCAGAGTTATACATACTGACCAACAGGTTCAGGACGATCAGAAATCATTGAAGTTACCCACACCCAAGTCTATTCGCCTACAGAAAGAAAAACAGTTACAGTTATTATGGAGAGAATTCCATCAATAACTGAAATAATAAATATACTTAACAATAATACCCTGTGTCCCCGATCCGTAGGACCCATCTGAATATACTGATCCAGAAACTAACTAAAGAAAAAAATAATTAAAATAAAAGGTTAACAATAATAAATCATTAAAATAAAAATAATTAATTAAAACAAACAAAAGAAGAAAAATATTCACCAAAAAGAAATCTCACTATCCGAATGACGCCAAACATGACAAATACCAAGAGAAACAAACAACAAACAAAAGAATGATTAATAAAAACAACACCAATCAGAAAGTTTCAAAAAACAAATCATCATAGTGGCGAATCAAGAAGAATTCGAAAGACACCAAAATTAATTATATCAACAAGCCCTAAATGATTGTGGAATAAATGAAAAACCAAGTCTCAAAGAAATATTTAACCAATTCTATCAAGACCGTATTCAATTCCACCTAGAAGAAAAAGGTCCAACAAGAAACATACAGACAAGATTCGCCATACACATAAAAGTCGAAAGCAACCTTAAAATAAAAGAAACTGAAAGTAAAGACTATATCTGAATTCTCCAGAAATTTATATTTGAACATTATCAAGAAAATGCTGAGATCGTATTCAGTTTAACCAAATCTGATGAAGAAAACGCAGAAAATGCCAACACAGCCTTTATTAAATCTGACAACGATGAATCAATAAGCCACGAAAGCACTACCAAAAGTGTCCTAGCAAAACTAACAGAACAAGAAAGGGCATTAAAAGAAAAAATTAAAACAATTACCCGAGAAGCAAAGAAAATATTAAAGGAATAAATCCAACTCACCGAGAAGATGATCACCAAAATAACGGAAGAAGAAGAAGCAACTGGAAATAAAGGAAACAAGAATCAGATAAGTAAGGTAATCGAACAACAAAAATTACTAACTGAAAAACTACAGGAATTATACTCTCCAACGAGCAAACCAAAAATAATGAGTACAGGAACTACGTTAACCACCACACAGAAGGAAGAAGAAATTGGCTATGATGGTGAACAAGAAGATAAAGGATCTCGAAAAAGAAGCTCACGATTAACTGAAGAAAAAGGAAAAAGACCAGCCGAGAAGAGAAAAATAGAAAATCTTCAACAAATGAGACATCAAGTTACCCAAGGAATAGAAGACAATCCTGATGATTCTGATTCTAATAATCCTGACGACAATATTGATGATGATTATATTCCACTATGAAGACTTGTGAAACTTTAGAAACAACCGCAACAACAAGGAAGATCATCACGACCAAAAGAATATAAACTATCAGTCTTCAAAGAAAACGATAAGAGTGATAACCCAATGGACTGGATCATGAAAGTTTCAAAAATTGCTGCTGCCAACGAATGGGATAAACAAATATTGGTCATAAGAATTCCATTGGCTCTAAAAGACATCACCAATGAATGATATGAGACGCTCCCAGAATGGACGGTCAAGGATACTGATAGATTCATGAAGGTCTTCCTTAAGTTTTTCATGGAAAGAGTCTCCACAGCTAGATTACACGTCAAACTAGCCATGATAAAAAAGAACACTACTGAAAATGTCACTCAATACTATGGAGAATTCGTAAGATTGCTGAGAAGAGCTGATCCAACTGGAAGATACTATATGGAACAACAGAAAACGGACATGTTTATGCGGAATTTAGATCACAAACTATGAAAATAAGTCTATGACCCAAAGATTATGACGTTGAAAAAAGCCTTCAAAGAAGCAAGAGACGCAGAGACTGTATTGACCTACAGTACATTCACGACAAGTGTTAATGCTGTCCTGAAAGAGAAGAAAGGAATGAAGAAAATAAAAGAAAATAAACAGGTATCAGACCTAGAAAAGGCTGTCCAAGCCTTGTTGATTCAACAAATATTGCCAACAAAAACCATCACTCCGCCTACTACGTCGAACGAAAAAAGGATCTGTTATTACTGTAACAAAGAAGAATATTTTGTTAGAGACTGTAGATTAAAACAAGAAGATCGAAGAAGAAATCAATATCAAAATACTTACTCGAATAATCTCTCTAACACCTATCAACCTCGATATCCATCAATGGCCCCAACATACAGACTGCCACAACAACGCCCTACATATGTTCCTGTGTATAACGAAAGAGAAAGAGAACGAAATAGGCAAGAAAGCATTAGAAGGGATAATGTCGAAAGAAGACCGTTACAGAACCGAATTCAGCAAAAACGACCACAACTAACTTACCTTGCTGAAAGGCAATTAGCCTCTGACACAGAATCTGAAACACAATCAGAAGAAAACAACAATAAAAGTATATCAACAATGACTATCAAGATCATGGAGAAACCTAAAACAACAAGAGAAACTTACCACTGGTTAAAATCTCAATACCCGAGAAAGATAACAAAGGAACAAGAAGGACACGTACCTCACATCTGTTCATCGAACTACTGGAAAAATTCGCCGCATAGAGGAAACTGTTGCTCCGATTGCCTTGACATTCTAAAAATAATCGAAGTAGAAAACTATTACGAACAGAAGGAAGAAAACTGTGAATACGGGTTGAGAAACTGTTCTTGTTATTGGTGCTGCAACTGACTACAAGTGAATCACAAAGGATGTCTCACTTGTGACTCAATAATCCAAACATCAAAAGATAATAATATACTATCACCAAAGCCAAAACTCAAAGAACCCAAAAAACAATCAATCTCGAAACAAACACAAGAAATAACATCCGTTGTCACAACAAAAACAAAAGGAAAAATGACGGCAATGATAGTTGAAGCAAAAGTGGACGATAATACAATCAAATTAATAATTAACTCTGGCTTTGCAGGAAGTATCGTCATAACCAAACTCCTCGAAAAGTTAAATCGAAAAATCCAATGACCTTCCACCACCGAAATCATCATAGTGAACAGAACACGAACTGTTCCAAAAGGAGAAATCAATGACTTTCCGTTCGAGATTGAAGAAATTGTCGTACCAATCAAAGTATTAGTAATCGATGCCTCGCAATATCAGGCCCTAGTTAGAAACGACTGGATGAAAAAAGCCCATGCTCGACTTGATTGGCATGCTAACTGGATAATCATTAACTACAAAGAAAAGGAAGCAAGCATCCCAATTAATTTCGAAAAGAAACAAAAACACGAACATGATCCTTATGCACCCATAATTGAATACAAAAATTTTGCCATTACCGAAAGTGAACAGAAACGACGAGAGCAAAGATCAATCCAATCAGTAAGAAAGAACCAATAGACACCGTCTCGATTAGAATGTAGCAAATGTAAAAAGAAGCTATCCCAAATGTCTGTCACCATCAATCTGAACGAAGAATGGGGAAAAGAAACTGCCTACTTTTGTAAATGATGTGCCAACAACTATTTCAGACACATCATTCAACTCACCAGAACTGGATTATGAGATGGAACAAATTGCCTATTGTGCAAAATCATAATGCTAACGAAGTATGATTGGGAAGACATTTCTGGCGTAGGAGGAGTATGTGACTCTGATTGTAAATACGTCTATTTGATTTGACATTGGTACAATCAAGGAACGCCATTCCAAGCTGCCTTCTGGAGAGCTTGCGATCGAATAAATCTAGAGCCTGAAGAAAATGAAAAAGTCAGGCAATTAGCCATCAGATTCATAGAAAAAGTGTCAACCAAAGAAATCCGTCAAATGAAAGATGAAGAATACTATACCTTCATCGATGAAGTCACTGACTACAACTGGCTCGATGACCAAGGAATCTTCTATGAAAACTATCAACAATTGGCACCAACCAAGATATGACAGGAAGAAGAACTCGCCAAAATGAAGATTAAATTATGCGATGAATGTTTAATACCATGTCAGAAACAATATTGTGACGATTGTTACCCTGAAATGATACCTATTCCAAGAGAAGATTGAGATGAGTTGATGGATTGGTACGATCAAATGGAAGAGAAATACCTTACTGATAAGAATCGATTATCACGTCTAATCACACCTAAGGATGCTTGCCTAAATCCTTTCAGAAAAATATCATCATAATTTCGACGGGTTACACACTAATTGTTAATTAGAATTTCGACATAATTTCGGTTATGACGGGTTTCAAAATTCGTCAGAATTTCGATGAGTTATTTACTAATAGTTTATTATAATTTCGACAGAATTTAGACAGTCACTAAGGGATTTCGGCAAGCAACCTTAACCACACCGCTACCAATCAACTGGTTTAATTCTCTTCACGAAACTAACAAATAGAATTCAAAAAGACAAAAAGCAACTGATTGGTTTAACGAAGTGGAGCAATACTTCACTGAACCAATCAACAACCCAATTCTATCCAAAATAAACAAATATTAACTCTTATGACCAAAAGGAAAAGAACAAAAAATTAAATGCTATGTTGAAAAAGAAAATGCAAGAATATCGACAAAAGCACACGACACAGATGCTGGATTCGATTTATATTATCCAGAAAAAGAATCGCTTATCCTGCCATTTGAAGAAACCACCGTAATCGACCTAGAAATTGCGGTGGAAGTTCCCGAAAATAGTATGATGCAATTATCATTGAGATCATCGCTCGCAAAGAGAGAAATTACTGTCAAAGGAGGAATTATAGACTCTGAATATATCAGAAATCTGCAAATTATTCTGAGAAATGGATCGAAGAAGAACTATAAAATAATATCCCAAGAAAGAATAGGTTAGGCTCTCTATCTACCTATTCTACCGATCAACAAAATAACATCTATAAAGACACGTACTGAACTAAATCAAAGTAAAAGAGATCAAAAAGGATTAGGATCAACTGGAAAAACAAAATAAATAACCAATTTGGTTAACATACCTGAAGAAAATGGTAATGACATTATCCGAGGAATGCTCATTCTATTGGAAAAGATGATTGCAATATATCCTAATAGAATGATTGTATGGAAAAAATGAAATGAGAAAACCATCAGCTCTAAACTATTTTTATTCAAACCCAATCATGACCTATTCGAAAGATACAGGCTTAATTGCAATCACCAGTATATTGCACCTAAAAAGTGACATAAAATTCAACTTACCTTAATCAATTGAAAGAACCAAACCATCCTGTTAGAAGAAGAAATCATACTAGGATATATCGAAGATGGAATCGAGCACTTGCAGACCTTTTGATGTGCAAGAGAAATGATCCAATACTTCAAAATCAATCTGAAACCTCGAAGAACAAAGAAAAATAACTGAAGAATCGAAACCTATATATTAACAACTAAAAATCTACCAAAAGTTAATATTGGAAAAGTATCAGAAAAACAACAGAAACAATTATACCAACTGTTATTAAAATACTCCGACTTATTTGCAACGAACGACAACGAATTAGGAAAAACTGATAAAGTCTGACACAAAATCGACACTGGAGAAGCTATACCAATTAGGCAATGAGCTTACAGAACTCCACCAAAATCAACTGAATTCATTGCCCAGGAGATAGAACGGATGTTGAAGAATGATGTGATTCACCCATCAACTAGCCCTTAGTCATCACCGGTAGTTTTGGTAAAAAAGAAGAACGAAAAATTATGATTCTGTGTTGACTATCAGAAACTCAACTCAGTCACAAAAAAAGATGCTTACCCTTTACCTAGAATTGACGAGATACTAGACTTGTTAGAAGAATCCAAATGGTTCTCAACATTGAATTTAGCAAGTGGCTATTGGCAGGTAGAAATGGATCATGACAGTCAAGAAAAGACAGCTTTTACCATCCAGCAAGGTATTTACGAGTTCAACGTAATGCCTTTTAGCCTAACGAACGCACCTGCAACTTTCCAACGACTCATGAATACTGTCTACTCTGGTTTGGCATGAACCTTCCTTGTCATTTATCTCGACGACACCAACATCCATTCACCATCATTTAAAAATCACTTAGATCACCTAGAACAAATCTTTCAAAGATTATGAGAAGCAGAATTACGTCTGAACATCAACAAATGCCATTTTTGTAAGAAACAACTTGAGTTTCTAGGTCATATTATTATCTAAAACGGAATACATCCAGACCTCACCAAAGTGGAAAAGTAAAAGAATTTCCACAACCAACGAACATCACAGAATTATGAGAATTTCTAGGATTAGCATCTTACTATAGACGCTTCATCCAAGAATTCTCTAATATTGCTGAACCATTACATAAACTATTGAAGAAAGATCAACATTATGAATGGAGAAAAGAACACAAAGAAGCATTTGAAGAGTTAAAAGAAAGACTCACCCATGCATCAATATTATTATATCCAGATTTTAAGAAGAAGTTCATCCTCGCTACTGATACATCGAAACTCGGATTAGACGCCATTCTTTCACAACTTGACTCAAATAGAAATGAATGACCCATCGCGTATGCAAGCCGAGGATTATCATCCGCTGAACAAAATTACGCAGCTCATGAGATGGAATGTCTAGCAGTTATATGAACAGTAAAGTAATTCCGATAATACTTACTCGAGCAGAAATTTGACCTGATAACTGATCATGTTGGATTGAAATGGTTCATTACCAAATCCAACCCAACCAGAAGAACAATGCGATGGATTGCAATTCTGCAAGAATACGACTTCGAAATTATTTACAAACCTGATCGCAAGCATTTCAACGTTGATGCTCTATTCCGAATCCCCCAAACGAACACGACCCAACAACCAGACGAATCTCACCACCAACTCATTATAACATTAAACATGGAACAAAACCTATACAATATTTGGATAACATATATTAATGATTGAACAACATTAGTGAAATTATCATCTAAATTACAACAATACATACAAAAATATAAAAATAATTACCTTATACTGGAAGAAAGACTGTATTATCGACAAAAAGAAGAAAGACCAAAACAAGTCATATTAGAAAATAAGAAGGACATTATCCTTCGACAATTCCATACTGATGAAATCACCACACATCTCAGACAAAACATAACAATTAATAAAATAAAAGAATGGTACTACTGGCTGACAATAATCAACGATACAAAAGAATATACCCGCACCTGTGAAATCTGTCAACAATGTGGATGACCAAGAAGAACTGAACCACTAAACCCAATTAGGGTTACTAAACCATTTGACCGAATAGGAATCGACATCGTTGGACTGCTCTCAATAATGACAAGAAGAAACTAATACATTGTGATAGCTGTTGAATATCTAATTAAATGGCTGGAAGCTAGAGCCATTCAAAAAGCTGACATCGCAAATGTCGAAAAATTCATCAAAGAAGAAATTATTTCTAGATACGGATGCCCTAAAGAAATATTAACGGATCAAGAAACACATTTTGTCAATGAAAAAGTTAAAGCTCTCTGCGAACGAATAAACATTAAAAGAACATTATCCTCACCTTATCATCCCCAGACAAACAGACTTGTCGAACGATTCAACTGGACACTTTGTGAATCATTGTCGAAACTCTCGATCCAAACAAAATCATACTGGAATGATCACATTACTGCAACACTATTTGCTTATTGAACTGCAAAACATAATATCACCAAATTTACCCCTTTCGAACTACTCTACGAACAAAAAGCCACCTTACCTATTGACTTACTATTACCCACCAATACCGAACAAACAAGCAATAATTATCAAGAAGCTATGGATTAATAAACATTTGAAATGATCTATCAACTAAACGAAAAATAACTAGAAGCTAAAATAAATATTAATCAATCTTAGAAAAAACAAAAAGAACGCCACGACCAAAAATTACCAAACAAAGAATACAACATTGAAGACAAAGTACTCATATACCGTAGCAAAAGCAACAAATAATGATCTGAAAAATTAGACCCCAAATGGGATGGACCATACTGGATTCACAAAAAACTCGATAATGGAGCTTACAAACTCGCTGACCAGAATGGAATACATGCAAAAAATTCATACACAGAAACCAATTAAAATATTACTATGAATAAAAATACGAAAATGAAGAATTCGAAGATGAATCCTCAAATGAAGAAGGGGAAGAAATCGCAAAAACAACTCCATTCGTAATAATTTCTAAAACAAACAAAAATTTAAAAGAATACAAAAGAAAGTAAAAAATGAAGAAATTGAACGATTATATAAAAAAAAATAGTTTAATAAATAAAAAATGTTAATAAAATGAAATCAAAGTCACATGACACACGTGACTTTCGAGATCTGATGTCAATATACAAATATAAATAATTATAAAAATAATGATAATGATAATAAACACAAACGAAACAACAAAAATTAACGAAATGGACCAAATAAATGAAACAACAATACCTACTGATGGAATGGACGAAATAAAAGAAACTTGGCAATTAGTCAACGAACTGATCACAAAAATAAAAGAAAACTTTCTGAATGTAATGTTCATAATCGACTCAGCAGAATTATGATTCTCAACATCACCAATAGAAGAAATATTAGTAAGAGAAGCTGAAACGGATGAAATAATCAAAAATATCAGGATGACGAAACGGTTAACGAAGAAGAGACTCTCCAGCCTGATGAAGATATAGATAAAATTGATCAATAACTGAAGAAGGCATGGAAGAAGAAAAGAAAAGATACAATTAATTTCTATTATACAAAAAGCACATCCAAAGGAAGAATTAGAGAATTATGGACAGAATATGGTGATTGTTTTCGCTCCCGAGTTAAGAGTGAAGAAAAACTCTGTCTACTATAGAAAATTGGAAATCAGTTAAGATAAATGAAGGACAATAAAACTAGTCAATTACAGTTAATGAAAGGAAGTTTTGAAAATCCTCTCACAAGTTCTTTAAGAAAACACCTGCAATTAGCAAAATGGCTTGCCCACACTTTCTTCAATTTCTCAGAAAAATTACTATCAGTAAAAATGACCTTCTACATAGAACTATGTCAGTTAGACCAAACACAATTAGAACAATTAATCCTATTGGTTCAAAACTGGTTATAATTAATGTGGAACTCAATTCTTAAAAGAAGAGGAAAATGTTACGACTGGAAATTTATATAATTTACATAATTTCCATAATTTTCATAATTCTTATAACTTTCATAATTGTAATAATTAAAACAATTACAGTAATTACCATCATTTACAACAATTATCATCATTTACAACAATTATCATCATTTATATAATATTGCTACGTTATTTAAATAAAGAGTTTCTTTACTATTAATAAAAGAGTCATATGAGTTGGGAGAGATAGATAGACTAATAAAATTGATCAGTGCAAAAATAAATATCTAAGCCTGTGCCAATTTTGACAGAAATTGTTAAACAATTCTATCAAAGATGAAAAGAGAGGTTGGGAGAGTGT